ATTATAAAAATATTATATATATATATATATATATATATATATATATTTTCATGATTTCATTAGTTTTGAATTGGTTAAAATACAAATGTGTAGAAGAGATCAAATAAGATAATATAGTCTTGACTAGATTATTGGGGGGAAATGCAAGAAAATAAATAAGTTAATTTATGATTTCAAAACGCTTGCTAGCGAATTTCTCTCTTTCCCAACCTTTTGGGCTTTGTAGCTTTAACTATTTATAGTGTACCTCTGAGGGGGTATTGTATGTTCCTCTTAAAGGATTTGATGGATATAACTACCTCTTGTTGTATTAGATTGTAATTTCATTGGGCTTTGGCCCTCCTTGATATATTACATTATTTTCTAATTAGACATTGTGTATGATATTTTTTTAAGAGTGAAAGGTGTATGTTTTGTATATCACATTATTTTCTAATTATAAATAGCTATCTACATTACATAAATATCAAATTATTCTTTTATTTGGCCGAATCTAAAATAAATATCACTTTTAGCATAGTAATAACTAATAACTGAGTTACAAAATGAGATGCTTGATTGAATTGATTTTTATTATATTTATTGTACAATTAAAGATTTATTATCTTTTAGAGATAAAAAACAAAAAAAAATACAAGATTGATCGAAATAAAGTTAGTTTGGAGTAAATTCAATTTGATTAAATTAGATTAGAATTTAAGGCCAAATTAATCAAATGCTGAAGTGAGAAAATCAACCTGGTCTAACCATTTTGCAAATGATTTTAAATATTTGTTTATTGTATTTCATATATTATTTTTTTTCTCTCATTTAGGGGTTTGCGAATATTATTTAAGTATACCAATAATTAAATATGTCCCTCTTTTTTTTTTTGTCAACGGCGTTATTTTCACAAAATAAATAGGGGCAAGACTCACACCCTATAGTGTACAATTTACGTTATGTTTTGTAGCCATTAAAACTTTTTTTTTTTACGGAAGCCCATACCCATTCAATCGTCGAATAAGGCCGATTACATATTTCCATTGCAAAAATTGTTAGCCCATACCATAACCCAGGTGTGATATGGTTTTGTACGATTCTGAATAATGCATCCTGATTTTGGATAAAGTTTTGTTTCAAAACAATAATTGATAAATTAATTAAAACTTAAAATAATAATTTATTAATTTTTGTTTGATAAAATTAAGAACAAGTTACAGTCCTATCATTTAAAAGATGTGAATATTACATAATTCTTACCTCTTCATTAAAATATTTAATTTAATTCATTTAAACAATATTTAATTAATAAAAATTATATTCTACGAGTATAAATTAATTTTTTACTATTAATTTTAAAACACTATATAAACCATGTTTATATATATAAAAAAATCTTAACACTTATAAATTAAAGTACCTATCGCTCCTATGATAAATGCATATATTAGAACACCCTTTTTCTCCCCTCTTTTGTTCAAATATAAAATGATTTACACTTTTTTCCCAAAACAATACAAAAATTATTCTGCACACCCCATTTATAAAAACGATTTGAGTATTATTCTGCTCATCTCCTTTTAAATTAAGATATATAGTTTATTTAATTTAACATTACTGAAAATTCATCTTTAAAACACACTAAAATATTTTTGATTGAAATATATAATGAAATATATAAACTTTAACTTTTAATAATTATTTTTTATTTAATAAGAATTTTTAATATATGGAAATTCATTTTAAAAGTTATATGTTCAGTATACATATGCAATCATCAAGATTATTAAATTCAACAATTATATTATCTTTAATAAATATAATAAATCATATTATATTAGGAAAATAATAGATTATTTATATGAATACTATATTAAGCACCGTGTGAAAAAATCGCGTGTTAGAACCCCCTTCATGGGATCCGGATCCTCTGATTTTGAGATATCAAAGTTATGGTAACTTAACACATCTCAATCGTTGGATTTGTAATAATAGATCAGATTGTGACACGTGTACAAAATATATTTTTAACTTAAATGTACACGTGTCACAATCTGATCTACTATTACAAATCCAATGGTTTAAATGTGCAAAGTTACCCTAACTTTCCCCCTCCAAAGTCAGGGGATCTATTTCCCCCTTCATGTAAGCATCGAATCCATACTTTTTGAGCTAGCAAAGACCAATCTCAAACTCCACTTTTTTAATTCATCAATAAGTTCACATTTTTCCACCACCTCTTGTGTTGTCAAAAACTCATCTTCAACCTTGACATCTAAATTTGCAAGCTTTGATTTTGGTTAAACACATCTAGATTCAATGCTACCAACATTTTGCTTGCTCCACTCCTTTATATCCACTTTCAACACCTTAAACTTCTCTTTGAAAACATAGGGATCCGGATCCTCTGACTTTGAGATATAAAAGTTATGGTAACTTAATTCATTTCAACCGTTAGATTTATAAAAATAAATCACATTGTGACACGTGTACAAAATATATTTTGACTTAAATGTACACGTGTCATAATCTGATCTATTATTACAAATCTAACGGTTTAAATGTGTTAAGTTACCCTAACTTTCCCTCCATAAAGTTAGGGGATCTATTTCCAAAACATAGGCACCCTACCCCCTCAATTTGATAACTTTTATATTTTCCTTCAACAAATGCCTCAAACCCCTTTTCCAAAATCCATGCATAGACAAATCTAAATGGTTTTTTCTCCAATTTGACCAATAAACAGAAAAATCACGATCAAAAACGCGTTAAAAGCTATTTTCTACTTCATTTAGCCACTTTGGAAATAGCAGAAAACAATCAAGTTTACTCCAAAACCATGTAAAATTTCTGCCAACAGTAGAGACTTCTAACAGTTACATATCATCAATAAATTGAGAAAATCCATTCATTTCTAAGGACAAACCTGATATTCTCCCACTTTCTCCTCTTTTTTCTTTTGGAAATCTAACTGCATTATATTCTCCATTACATTGTTTCCCCTTCTCTATGGTGATAAGAATAACAGATTTTTCTTTACTCCCTCTAATTGTGGGCTTAATATCCCCGTTACATTCATCTTTGATGCCTTTATTTTTGTGCACCTATTTTTTTTCATCAAACGCATTGAAATTCTCCTCCAACGAGCTTATTTCATATATTATTGTAATCTCTTATATGCAATACATATCATGTCTAGTTCCTTCTCTAGTTTCTTGAAATGTAGACATCGTGAACACAACCCCAGTGCCAAAATATTTTCCATATTGCTTCAACATCATACTCATTCGGGAAGTGAGAGAAAAAATACAATGTTAAATTCAGGTTTCTGTGTATTTCAATTCTCCTTCGTTGTTCGCATATTTGAATTCATAAAAAAGTTTATTATTATTTTATATTTTGATATTAATATTATTAGTCAAGCTTATTCTTAATATTTGTTGATTATTAAAATAAATGTAATGCTTGTAAAATCAAATGTTGTGGATGAAAGGAGAACGTACCAATGAGGTAATTTACTATCATGAGATTTGCTTTCAAAGCAAAAGACATTTACAAAAGAATAAGTTGAACTCAATGTGGAAAAAATAAATCCCTTCAGCTTTCGACAAAAAATAAACGTCTGTTTGGGGTGTCTCACAACAAACCTAACTCACTCACAGTCTTTTGAAATAAGATTTTAAATTTGAGTTTCGAGAATAAAAAAAATTAGAAAGAAAGACTCAACAAAAATAATTAACCAAGTTTTTTGATAAAAATTAATTATTAATGAAATTGATGAACATGTCACTAATCATTCCTCTTCCTCTCTTAATCGACGTTTGTGAATCTTAACCCTTTATTGCTTTCTTTTATCTTTTTAGATTTTATCCGATCTTGTTTATATCACATCCCCTTTTTCGTTTATCCATGTAGCTAAGAATTAGATTAAATTTGTTAGTTTCAACAAGAAGACCATATTTTAGAAACCTTTATATATAATTCTAAATTTCTTGTTGATGGGTGTATTTGTCTCACGACAAAACTAATTAATATTAAGTAAACCTAGATCCGATCGTTAGGTTGTTCTCTACAAGGCGCAAAGTGAATTTTCCAATCATGATTAACAAGTTCCATATGACCATCAATTTGTAGGTAAAAAGGCATAAATTTAGACAACATAGGTTTAAATATTTATTAATTAAAGCTCAACAACACATAATATATATAGCATTCAAGTGTTTGAAGTTTTAAGAAAATGTGAAAAAGCATTATGCAACATGCAATAATCAAAGAGGTACTAGACGTTGCACAAGGACTTGAAAATTGAAATGACTGTGCGTACGTTGATCGTGGACATCTGAAGGGCAACAAAAGAAAATTAATGACAAATTGCATTAATGACATGATGATCCCCTGTGAAACGATAACGTAGAATCTTTGGCAATTTCTTATATAAAATGGTCGATTAATGGTATGCGGGCACGCCTAAGAGAATATGTTAACTTTAAGGTGATGCTACGTGGGGACCCAATTCAATAAGACAAGAGATTTGTGGAGCATTAACACGATTATTGGAAGTGTGAGTATATTTACTTCAACAGGAATAAAGGGTTTTGCCTTTTATGCTGTAGGAGACTACGAGAAACGAATAATATTGATTTGGATCAGAAAAGCCTAAAACTTTGGGGATGTGACTTAAATATCTTTAATTACTTTACTAGTTTAAAGAACCTGGCTATTATCCAAGACATCATATTCTAATGATCGTCGAAAATGAATAGCACACCACTTAAAGAACCTCAGACTTGGAAAATGCATATCATGAGATTTCCAATAGTCCACTAGCTTGATCTGGGAGACACTAAAAGAGAAGTGGAAATCGTACTTAAAAATCTATCACTGTCCTTTCTTCCCAATTAACTTAGCTTCCCACGTAAAAATCATCTTGATTAATTTATCATTTTTAACATTGCTTATTAAGACATTTTTATTTTGAAATGACTTTTATTAAAACATTTTGAGTCTTTCTTTTATAATCAACTCATAAAATTCACCTACCGATCCATATAGAGTATATTAAAAATTAAAACTATATATGCAAAGAGAATGCTGTTAATATTCTTAAAATAAAATTAACAATTGATACAGGAAACAACATTCGTATTTCATATGAATATTTAAATTTGTTTCTATTTGGATTAGTAGGGCGCAAAGCATAAGAATTAAATATTTTTAAGTAAGCTTTAATTAACGTAAATTACTAATTTTAACTTTTATTCTAATTACTGTTCTAATACTCGACATTCTTTATATAATTGCATTGAATATGAAGCCAAGCAAATGGTGTTTCGTATAGTTTAGAATTTGATATTTGTGATTTATACTTTATTGATCCTATAATACTTTTCTTGACCTTAATATTTACCAAATTTGATAAATTGTATCTTCTATTACCCTTTATGTTTAAAAATTTTCATTTTAATCTCTATATGTATAATTTTTATTATATTAGGTCATTATTATTATAAAAACTAAAAGATAAAATTTATGAAAAACAGAGATGAATATGTATAAAGGTCGAAATGAAATGTTTAAAATTATAGAAACTAAAAATAAAATTTATAAAACAATATAGATGGAGAGGTATTTAAATTTTAAAACTTTTTTATTCAATAAACATTCAATACTATCGTTAGAAAATTCACTCAATTCAATATTTGGTTTCTAAAAAATTACTAACTAATATACAAATTATAAAAATGTCTTAATGAGATGCTTTGATTCTTTTGAAGGTTACTTAATTATATAAAAAAATTGAAGAAAAGAAGAAGAAGAAAATTTATATATATATAAAGGAAATGCATAATACATCTTCTCTTTCCTTTTCAAACCGGGAGGAAAAAAATATTTAAATAGGGTCTTTATGTTTTGTTTTCCCTTCTGCTTGTCCTTCCAAACTGAGGAAGGATTTCAGTTTTGCATCTTTTCTTTTCTCCATCAATCTTCCCTTTGCTTTTCTGACACACCAAAGGCTTAAAGTCAAGATATGAAACTCATACATTTAAATAAGGATCGAAATAAGTTAGATAAGTTTAAACTTAATTCTCTTAAATTTATAGGTCTAACCTACTAATTGAAAATAATAGGTCTAACTAAACAAGTATTTCTTTTATGACACTTCACACCATGCAAGGGAGAAATGCAATATTCAAGCAGAAAGTGACACATCAATATGAAGTTGAAGTACACATTATTTTTTTCTAGTTTTATTTATTTATTATTCCGTGATTTTTACCGAGTGTTAAAGTTTTTATAATAAGGTAACCAATTACCATTATTTGTTAGAGAATGCAAGAAGACCTACATACCATGGTAGAGTCGCTTCAAATATTTGAACCTCTAGGAACAGTGAAGAACAAACATAATTTAAAAATATAATAAAAAAATTGTATACAAGTATAATAAAAATAATATTACTGTTGTTTTTAATTAAATGGAAAAATTTTAAACTTAAATTATTTTAAGTAAATACTCTAAACTCTCACTTTTTAAATTAAATATTTTTTTTTAAAGTAAAACTTCACTTGTGTAAGAGAAAATAAGACAATTTTTTATTTATTTTTAAGATGACTCTGCAATATTTATAAAATAAATACTGCAATAAAAGGGCATTAAATTCATGATATTTTTTTATTTAAAATTGAACAAATTAAATAATATTTATTAAATCCTAAACCCTAAATCATAAACCATGATTTACAATTGCCTTATAATAGAGTAACATTTTTTCTCATTTTCTCTCTCAGTCTGAGATTATATAATTTTTCTCCTTTTCTCTTTTAGTCTGAGATTATATAATAATAGAGAAACTAAACGATATAAGTTAATAAAAATAATAAATTACTAATTTATTTTCTTTTTATCTCTTCTAAATTTTTACATTTATTTAAGAATAAAAATATTTTATGAAAATAATGTCTATTTTTTATATAAGAATAAATTTATTTTTATTAAATATGTTTAAGTAAAAAAATGTGTAATAATTACTCACATTCTTCTTGATGTGGATCATCTCCTTCCAGTATGATGTAAATATACAAGACAAAAGAGTAAAAAACTAAAATAAAAAATTAGAAAAAACCGATATTAGTAAACTAAATTATGATACATATCTTTAGTAAGTAAAGAATTAATAAATCTTTTAGTCAAAAATACATATTATAATAATATAAAATTAAGACAACTTTGATATAAAGTGAAAGCAATTACACAATAGGATCGGATAACATATAAATGAAATATTAATATATTTTTACATATTAAATATAATAGGACAATTAAAATATAATTAATACTTTATATTTTGTATTAAAAAATTAATAGTACATATATAAAAATGAGAAAGAACAAATTTTTAGTGGGAGCAAACTGCACTCACTACTATGGCCATATATGCTTTCCAATATATATATATGGTTTAAGAAAAATGCATAACACATATGGGTGGGGTTACTCAAACTCGAGATAAAAAGGTAAAGAAAACTAAAAAAATAGCTTTGGAACTGATAAGTAGTAGACAGCAACTAGCATTATTTACTTGCTAAAGGTCGAAATAGAAAAAGACGATTTTTCTTATATTTCTTTCGAAGATACGAGTTTTAAAGTGCAATGCTTTCAGCAGTTACGTATAAATGCATCATTTAAAAAAAAAAAAAAAAAAAAAAAAGGACAGCTAAAGATAGTGAGAACCAGTGGTAGTTCCTTTAATTTTAGAAATGATTATCATAAAGGCTTAAGCTTTGGTTAGTGACTTAGTGCATGGTGGGACATCTCCAGCAAAAACTTAGAACTAGATCGTTGCAGTATAACGATTTCGATGTCATAAAAGAAAAAACAAAAAACCATTACATTAAGCTAGATGCCTTCAGTTTTCCGCATGTCAAAATTTATAATAATCCAGAATAATGAGCCATATATTTTTAACATATTATTTGAAATTATATTTACACTATAAAATTGTGCATGCAAGTGTTAAAAGACTACGGTATTTCATTGCCTTTGCTATCTGCGTGCTTCTCTTGGTATTAACTATTTAACCAAAAACCTATGAAACAATTAAGACAGACGCGAAGCTAAAAGAAGAATAATGGAGCGAAAAGTTTCTTTAAAAGGAGAAGAAAATGCATATCAAAGCAACATCATTACATAACAGTGATTTACATTTTACAATTTAAAGAGACATAAAAATCTTCTTTTTAATCCACTCTCTTCTTACATCCATTTCTAGTCAACCAGCACTAGATATTTATTTGACTAACTTGATACCCTCCGAAATAAAACTTAGAGATAAGTCATAATTATACTAAAAACTCGTCTCTAAATATTTTCACTAGAGAAGACTTGCCATTTTGACATCAAACATCACATACTAAAAACTCATCATTCTAATTGCAAATTTAACTTAGTTTGGCTCAAGGGCTTACGTCATTTTTATTTTTATTTTTATTTATTTTTTCTTATCGACGAACCACTAGACATTGCAGAGGTGTCTTCATTTCCATGGAAAGCCTAAGGCATTCTGAAAGATCAACCACAGGTTGTGCCGGAAGCCATACGAAGTGGCGTAGGAGTTGTGCGAGCCAGAGATGGGCCGTGGCCAAGCCCAAGGCCCGACCCGGGCACACCCTACGTCCAGCCCCGAACGGCGCAAGCCTCAAGTCCGATCCCATGATGGAAACGTCTTCTTTCAGGAACCTCTCGGGCTTGAAAGCCCATGGGTCCTCCCAGATAGACGAGTCATGCGATATGGCCCACATGTTAACCATCGCTGTTGTGCCAGCTGGCACATGGACCTTATCCACGTGGACGTCGTGGACCGCGAGGCGGGCCCATGATAGTAGTGGGCCTGGCGGGTGCAGCCGGAGAACTTCTTTTACTATGGCCTGGAGGTAAGGCAGATTCGGAATATCCGAGTCTCGCACGTGGCTGTTTTCGCCGATGCACGTGTCAATTTCTTCGCGGGCTTTCTTTTGTACGTCCTGGTGTAAAACCATTCTAGCCATGATCCATTCCAAGAGTATAGCCACTGTGTCTGTTCCTCGAAATACCATTTCCTGTTCAAAACAACAAAGATCATAGCTATACATAAGCACTTCCGCTCAGGTCTACACCAAAAATAAACTAAAGAACGAACAAGAATATGTAATCTTTTGTTAAAAAAAAAAACACATACGTCTTCTATTAAAATAAGTCACTGAGAATGTTGATAGTGCCATGGTGCTAGCTAGATTATTCTCTATGATCATGATGAGGAGTACCGAGTAATATACATATATAGGTTCATCTTTCAGGATTTTGTTGAACAAATTAATCTCATATGCTAGAATACAAGCTAAGCTAGGGAATTTCTCGTGTGTTGTATAATGAAGTTATGAGGTATGTAAATGTAACGTATGAAAAAGGAAGGTTTTATGGCTTTACTTTATATATTTATATTATCCATATGTATATATATGGATGATTCATGATTAGAGGTCCACTGAGAGAAGAAAAATAGGTAGATCTAGAGAGTAGAGTACTTACCCACAGAATAGCCACCATATCTGAATCACCTAACCTTTCTTGTTTGGGCAAAGAAAGCAAAGTGCTAAGAAAATCATTCTTCCCAACGAACCCCTCTTCTCTTTTTCGTTCCTCCACAATTTGCCCCACCACACTAGTGACCTTAGCCGCCAATTTGTGGCACCTTCTCTTGACCCCATAAAAGTCGAAAAACTTGAGAGGAAAATAATCTTCCAAATTAAACTCGGCAATCAAGTGATAGCCTTCCTTAACCATGTCACCCAACTCCTCCCTCTTATCACTGCTCCCAAACACGGTCTCCAAAATATTGCAGAGCGAGGCTTCCTGAAACATGCCGCGAACTTCCACCACCCCTTTCTCCTCCATCTCCCTCCACGCGGTGTTGAGCATTCGCTGAAGCACGCGCTGCCGGAGGCTCTCGAGGCCCTGAATCCTCCTCGGAGAGAACATGTGGAAGGCCGCGATCCTCCGCAGGTGTCGCCAGTAGGTTCCGGAAGGAGCGAAACCAATGGCACGGTCGAACATGAGAGCACGTGCGGTTTCCTTTATGGGACGATCCGAAAACGAGGAGCCCAATAGAATCTCTTTAGCTGTCTCGGGGTGGCTGCTTATGACAACGGGAGTGGCTCCCAGACTCAGCGCCATTAACCTCTTTGCGTTTAACGAGGATGCTAAATCAGCGAGTTTTGCGTGAGCCAGAGAGCCCATTAGAGGGAGAGTCCCGAGTATGGGCCAGCCCATGGGCCCAGTAAGGAGTCTTTTGTTTGGGCTGTGATAGTTCCTCCATGCAAAGCCTCCAGGGAGAAGCCAGTAGTTGAGGGAAAGAGCGA